TTTTTTTTTTTTTTTTTTTTAGCATGTTGATATTGGACTCAGTCTTTCTTAATCTCCTGAATTTCTTAGCTTTTCTAAACTTTGTTTGTCTGAGCTGTGTCTCATGGGTTGTTTGGCTGAGTCATGTGCAATTTTGCTTAATTTCCTTCATCCTTTACACAGTATTTCTATCTCTACCCCTCCTTTTCCGTTTTCCTGGGGTGGGGTTCTTTATCTAAAAGCTAAAACTGGTAGTAAATAAGTGGATCCTGGTGGTATACCTATCACTCATATGCTCACATTTATAAACCGTGATGCTTGAGAAGGTGAGGGATAATAATTAATAAAATTACCATATTTCATGAGGATTAAATGAAAAGGAATATAAAACTCATAAGTGCATAATAATGTTTTTTTTCAATGTAAGTTTTAAAAATACAAAGACAAAAGTGTTTTCATAATGTTATAATGAAATCCAGTTGGAAAATATCTACATACGCCTCCTCACTAGCTCATCTGTTACTACCCCGGTGGCCTTTCAGTGTCTTGCTCAGAAATGCGGAAAATGGGCTCCTTTTGGTGACCCCCATCTCTTCTGAAGCTCTCTCATCCACTCTGTACCTCTTCTCCAAATCAGGGCACCTTTTTGGTGTTTGCCAGAAATTCCATGACTTCCTCATTGCACTGCTATGGAAAGGGAAATGAGTCATTTGTCCTGAAAGCTTCTCATACTTGGGTCTAAGTTGTTCTCTCTCTTGTAAATATATATCAAGGTACAAGGCAGGTGGTTGGAAGTTTCAACCCTGATGACTTCTCCCAATTGTACTGGTTTTTGTCCAGATGCACTGGGTAGTTTCTTATATGGGGGTAGAGTATGCCTGTCTCCCCTCTCATTCTGGAAATCACATTTATTTTATTGAAATATTGTCACCTGTGATTGCCCATCATCTAGTCTGGGGTAGGTTTCTGTTATTTGCCCTCTGGCCGGGCCTTGGCTATTCTGTGTTTCATGTCTTTATGCTCACTGCCCTCACAATGGTGTTGGTACTGACTCCTGAGCAGGTGGCTCCTCCTGTTCCTGTGTCCCCCCCTTCCAAACTGTCACCGATGTGGGTGGGTTGAAAGATGACACGGAGGAAAATAGGTCACACACATGGTGAGACTGTTCTCTTTGTGTGGGGAGCAATGAAGATCACATCCCATAAGACTCAGGGCATGAGAACTATAAATCACAAGCTTTCCTTAAATCCAACCAGACAATTAAAACCACGCCACATTACTTTGAGAGAAAAAAATTTAAATGAAGCCAGGCAGTAGGGATACAGCCTCAGGAAAAGGAATGTTTGACTTGAAGTTGGAAATCCCGATGAGGGAGTTATTTGCTTCACATATTTATTTAACCTCTTTGACATTTGAATTTTTTTTGAGAAAAGCAGCAATAATACATACCTCAAACAACAATATGAAGATTAAAAGGAGATTTACCCAAAAATACCCAGCTTAGGGGCTGGTATATACTAGGTGCTTAATAAATATTCACGTGCATGTGCCTTCTCCATTATCATAGTTTGCAACTGTGGAAGTTTATTCTAGCACAGAATATCCCACTTAAAACTCAGGCAGCTGGAGACAAAACCCCATGTGTATTCACCTCGATTCTAGAAGTGTCTACCAATTTCATCTTGGGAATGAAAAGCGAAAAAGCCTATATTTGGGGAGTTCACAGGGTAAGGAAGGAACATTTGCAGGCAAAGATGTGTGGAAAGTTTACTGTGCAAAGAGACATGGTTGGCTTTCAGATGGTAGTGTGATAGTCACAAGAATTTCCTAGAGAGGATAGAGAGCTGAATATGGGTGTTAAGGGAGACAGGACAGTCCAAGCAGAGGAAAGAGCTCATGGCAGGGAGGAAATGTTTCTGTCATGCTGCCTATTCCTGGTGACAGCTTGGCCCCGGTGAGGCTTAGGGCCTATGGTGGGACAGCAGATCACCAGCTATGAGACTGGGACTCAGGCTGGTTGTTATCACTCCAGTGGCCTGGGTTTTTAGTAATCTCCCCATGTTTGTCTTTGGTGGGGGGAATGCTGTGGTTTCTGCTTGAGGGATGGAGGGAGATAGAAGAAAGGAAGGTTAAGGGTTACAGCTAACCTCAAATGTAGACTGAGCAAAGAACTAAGGTGATCTTTAGTGGCTCTCACCTTGTCATCTTGCCACCCGCCACCCTCTTCTTGGATCAGATCATTAGCCAATTTTATTCTTGAATCAGATCACTAGCAGAGACCCAGGTGAGAACTCTGAGATGACTGGAAAGTTCTAGACACTAGGAGCATAGGGCAGAGAGGGGGCAGCTATACTGGAGCTAGAAGCCCTGTGATGCTGACTTCTCTCCTCTTGCTCTGTATCTTACAGCAATGGAATGGCAGAGACACGGCCCTCATGGTCACTCGTGTGGTCAACCACAGGCGTTTCTCGGCCACAGTCAGTGTGGCAGACACTGCCCAGCGCAGTGTCAGCAAATACCGCTGCGTGATCCGATCGGATGGTGGATCTGGTGTTTCCAACTATGCAGAGCTGATTGTGAAAGGTGAGTGACACCAGTCCAAGCCTCTACTCAAAGTGCCAGGGTCTGGGGCTTCTTTTGCTCCATCCCTTGACAGGAATTAAAGCCCTCTCTCCTGTAGTAGCATGAGACAGAAGATTCCAATCACCCTGTCCTCCTCAACCTACACACCCCCAAAGAGGGGGAACCATTATAAAATCATGCAACAGTGCTCTCTTTGATTCAGAGTTGAGTCTTACAGTTGGGTTACATACTCAAAAGACTATGGGACATATAGCTCAGAGGACATCTCCAAATTTGGCTTTATTTTGTATTAAAAGTCAGAATGAACAAATATCCTTGTGCTTTGGTGACATTCTCCTATAGTGTTCTCACAAGATTGTTTCTGAGGGATTTTAAATTTAAAATTCATTACAAGGACAATATTTTGGGAGGACTTTTAAAATAAATAATCTCTACTCCACTGGACTTGATTCAAGTCTTTTCAATTGTATTGTTCTTTTTTACCTGGAGGTGCTATTTACATGTTTTCCATTAAAACATGCATGTTGTTTTCTTTTCTGCTTCTTGAAAGAAGCTGACTATCCCACTTGTTTTTGAAGCTCTGTGTAATCTGTTATCATGCTTAATGGGCGTATATCATTTCATCAAATGCATTTTCCTATTTTTAAAAGTCTCCCTATTTGCAGTCATTAAGGTAATTCCAGGTGTTTTTGTTTTTTCTTTCCTTCGGGTGCACAACAATTAACACCTCCATGTGGTTCTTCTGAAGAGAACATTTTTATTCTGTTGAACCAGTTTCTTTCCTTAAGATAAATTCCTTAGAGATAGAATTAGTAGGCCAAAGAATATGAGCATCTTGATGGGGTTTTCTTTGTTTTGCAGTATTGCTTTTACCAAAAAACTCAAAAAAAAAACAAAACAAGAAAAAAAAGTTTGACAATTTACACCGGCAACAGCAGCATATGAATGTACTTGTTATGTTCATCGATTAAAATTCTAATATAGTGTAATTTAGTGAATGCAATAATGAAGCTGCTCATGCTATGCCAGCCATAGAGCGATGCCTGGTGTGTTTGAAGAGAGCAAAGCATTGGTAGATCCCCCAAACGGCTTTAGAGTTGGCCTTCTTGGTTCAAGAATGGGTCGATATGGAAAGCTTGACCTCTCCTTACTGGCTCCCATGTGACCTGACCAGAACTAGGGCGGGAATTACATGCTGGTATCTCTGTTCTGGGCCATCTTGACTCCAGTTGGGTATTCACGTGACTGATCATGTGTCGTCACTGAAGTCCCACGGTGAGTGTCAATATGGCGTCCACTCCCAGAGAACTGCCCCGGCTCCTCTCTTGGTAATCACATTCTGTCACATCACATGCTCCACGTAGCTCTGACCATACTTCACAGGGGTCGCTTCTCTTTCTTTGTTTACAGGGTGATTTCTATCTTGTCTTTTAGGAGATAAGCTCTGTGACAGGAGGAACATCATCTCTCTTGTCCTAAGTCTCCTATTTAGCACAGTGACTGGCGTGGGTTTGGTGTGCACTGAACCATGGGGACTTCCCAGTGCTTGACTGATTTGATCTGCAGTCAGTCATTTCATAAGGCTCAACCTTAGAGAAATATGTGGAATAATGGGTGAGCAAATGAATTATTGGCCTCAGCAGGGATTCATTTCATCACCATAATGTCATGAACACTTAAGCGGAAGATCAACAAATTAGGCTGTCGTGAAAAAAACAAGTAATACAAAAATACCGTCTTTAAATTTGTTTACATTCATTACTATTAATATATAAAAGAAGCCATTTCTTTGATCACATTAGGCTCATTTCCTTGCTTTTTGTGCTATAAGATTGATTTGAGTGGCACAGTGGCCTTTGCAGGGCTTTCACATACTCAGTGAATATGTAATTTTCTGAGCTGTCCCCTGGAAGGCTCATTATATCACTTTCATGGCTGACCTTCCACTCTAGACCAGGAGCCCCAGGAGAGAATTTGTTGTATTCTGTCATGTTCCCCACCGTCTTAGGAGCACTGGTGTCTGCTACAAAGTCGGTGACGAGATAATAGGGCAAATGTGTCAGAGTTGGTACTGTACTCTGAAGGCTTCATCCGTGGACAAATGGAACCAGAAATACTTGGCTTATTCTTTCCATGACTACCATTCATCTGCAGGGTGAGACTCCTGGGGAGTCAAATCCACAGGCTACTGACACAGAGAATGTGGTGAGACATCAGTGCCTTGGATTTAGAGAGGTGGCCACTGGGAAAGTGATTCCTCCTGTGTTGGCTGTTCAGTCTGAGCCAGAGTTAAGGAGGGGACCATTGCTGCCTCTGGCCCTAGGTGCACCGGCCAGCTCTGTCAATATGAGCCAGAGACAACTGCTGATCTAAATCTTTACCTGCAGCTCTTGCTGCTCCAGGCGAAGGGATGTGCTGAGAGATACCCAGGCGCTTTCATAATGGACAGTGGTGGGTTGGCATTGTCCTAATCTGGTCCCATTTTATTATTTCATCTAGATGAAATTAATCCACAATTTTAGCATAGGATATCACTTTGTAGGTTCCCGTTTCCCTCTCATTTTAATATTCAGTTGTTGATAAGCCACAGCTTGGTCCCTTGAATATAAAGAAGTCCCTTCACATATGCTATCTCATTTTATCTTAATTGCAACTGTGAACATTGGTTGTATTTCACCCCTTTTTATAGCTGAGAGGATGGACACAACCAGGATGGAGGGTAGTACTAAGGGCCAAAGCTCAGGTACAACCTGAGTCTGACTTAATGCTATTTTGGCCACACCTGGAGGGCCTGTGGTGTGGCCTTCTTGGCACCTGGTAGCACATGGCCCAGAAAGGAGCCAAGCAGGTAGGTCCTAGGACAGGAGTCCCTGAGCCTGTCTAGATAACTTGCTGTTTTAATTCATGCATGCCCTACTGCTGGCTCACTTCCAATGGCTCTACTTCTTGGGGAAACAGATTTGACCTTTCCCTTTGTGTGCTTGCCTGTGTGTGCATGCACATTCCACCCACCCACTCCTAAAGCTCATGGTATCCAAGAAAAAGAAGAAAATGAAAAGCAGGGATGCCCCGTAGCAGTAGAAACCTGTCACTCAGGTGAGTGTGCGCCCAGCAACCATTGCAAGGCAGTTTACAAGAGCATTTGGGGTAAACTGACAGGTGAAGAATGACTTGCTTACTCTTAAGAGCCCTTTGTGTTTGCTGAGCCAGAGTGCTTAGGCACTTTAATACCAAAGTAATTGTGAAAAAAATCAAGGGGAAAATATTAATCTTTCTTTTTCCAGGGAAGAGAGAAAATCTGAGAAACAGCTCCAAAAGGATACTCAAGCGCCAAGTCTTGTCCTAGCGGAGGGGCTATAGCCCACAGTTCCTCTTCTTAAATGCTGATAAGTTTATATTTCACACAAATGGAGTGAGTCAAGGGGTCGAGAGCCTTTGGCTGACCATGGGGTGTCATCGAAAGAAAATTATCTCCCTGTAGTTTTCTGGCACATGAGTTTCTTACATTTGGCTCTAGTTTAGCAGCAAGAGAGAACTCTGTGCTCTCAACTCTGGCTGTGATTCTTGGGTTTTAAATCCTGACACCATCTTATCCCACTGTGGTGACCTTAAATACGACATAAAACTCTCAGGGCCTCATCTGGGTCATCTGGAAACAGTACAGGATTACCTCCCTCAAAGTGTGTTGTGAGGATTAAATTCAGTGAAAGATGTAGGACTTCTCAGAGAAGTGCTTGGTATATATGCTCTAAAATGTTTGCTTAAAAAAAAGAAAAAAAAAAAAAAGCCATGAAGGTAGGATTTCCCAGTAAGGCAGCAAAGAGGTGAAGGACTCTGTAGGTGGAACAGAAAATCTGACTCGGGTGTCGATTTGATTAGTTCTTCTGTGGTCTTGGAGAAATAATTTAAGGCCTCTGCAAAGTGGGTGTCCTGTGTTCTCTCCCCACACAGGAATGTACTGAGTATAAGGAAAAGGAAGAAGGGGAAAACGTGAACTTGGGAACATTTGGGTCACAGGGTCTGTGCAGGTCAGAGTTCCCTGGGTCCCTTTCTGTGTCTACCACTGACAGGAGAGCTCAGTAGCTGGCCCATGTTGTCTTCAGCCATAGAGCCGCATGGGCCCACCACCTCCAGTGGCATCATTCTTTCAGAATCTTGGCCATGCTGTAGCAGGAGCTCACAGGGACCCTCACTGCCCAAGGTGCCAGGAGCCAGGGCCGCTGTGATGGCTTCCAGGGCAGATGCACAGATCCAGCCAAGTGACAGAGGCCCAGCTGGTCTGTCTCTCCCCACCCAGGGGAGCCTATGGCTGGCTGGCTGGCTGTGTCATCCTGGGATGGTGAAGATTAGGGTTCAGAGATGTCACTGGATTTGAGAATGGATGGGGTGCAGACCATATTGAAAGCAAATCAGAGCTGATGCTGAGGAGCTGTTGACTGAGCTGTGATAATGTACTGGGTATGTCACATGACTTTGGGGTGGAGGTTTCACTCGATCAGCATCTCAGTCCCTTGGCTCACCCATTCCACGTCAATGTTCATAAGGGTACTTATTCTTTCCCTGCATCTCTTTTTCCAAACATCTTTGATTTTCAAGTGTTTTAGCTTGATCTAGAACAATAATGTCTTTGACCAAAGCGATTCACCTGCCTCCTGATGAAAATGTTCTAATTCATATGCTGGTTGTTAGTACTGATTTTTAAACCAGTCCTCCAGCTCCATTTAGCAACCTGTGATGGCCTCAGAACTCGTCTGTGTGAGGTTATTGCCTAGGGAAAAAAAATACAGTATTGGTGCTGATCATCAGGAGTTTGTATTTAAACACAACTTGTGATGAAGTCACTTTGGTAGGAGCAAGGGTAGGGATTGTGGACTGAAATGAAACACAACCTTGTGAGCTGCCCCGTGTGGCTTCAAGTAAAGCATGCATGTACTTCTGGTCTTACTTTTCTCATCTATACAATGGCATCAACATGTCTAATTGTGTCTTTATGACAGAGA